CGTGATCTCATTAATCAGCTGGTTATCTGAAAAGGGTTTCCCAGCTCAGAACTTTGACCATTAAGTTGAGCCAGTTTGTTTCTGTAGACCAAGGGTGGGGAATCTATGACTCTCCATGGGCTGAAGGCTCCAGCAGGCCCAGCAGGCATAACCAAACTTCAGGAATTATGGGACATGTCTGAGCCTCTTTCCCATCGGCAAATATTAATCCCTCCAGAAGGCGTTGGAAGGGCGTAGAAGAGGCCAAAACATTTTGTACACAAGTCAGAATCAAAGAAACATCTCTTTTTTGCTTTGTTTTAAATGAATATTTATAAAAACAAAGAGAAGACAGATGGCCCTCCTGCTTACTTCTCAACGGCAGAGCGTTTCTGAGACTTCCCTTGGTAGTTCAAAGCCATTTTGGTTTCCATTCCTGTATATACAGCAACTCCTACAAAATATAAACACAGTTGCAAGGGAGAAACCCCAGAGCCTTAAAAATTAAAAAGGCAGAAACAAAGAAGAGGCCACACTTGTGGTTGGGCACCGGCCCTCTCTTCTGTATGCCTACTCCAAAGTAAAGCCTATGCGTGCCCAGAACTGCAACTTTCAAAAAAATCAAGGGATGGGAAACAGAAGCAGCAAAGCATTTGCTCACCATAGATCTTTGAGGTATTTTTCAATTTCGCTCCTTTCAGCAAAAGGTTCTCGGGACCCAGCGGCCTAAAATGAAGAGCATTCATAAGAAGAGAAGCAATTGGAAAACGCCAATGGCTGACCATTGGTCAAAGAAACAAAGACTATTTAGAACAAGGCAAAGTTATGGAGGCGGTTATGACAAGCCAGCGTATAGGGGACGTGTAAAATTAATAGGTGGGGGAGAGAAAGAGAAGTCAGGGTCAGGAATTACTGGGCTACCATCCCTGGACTTCAAAAATGTGGATGACCACTAAGATGGTGGCAAAAGGTTATATTTTCTGTATCTCACAGCTGCCATCTAAAGCTCATCTGGATTTTTCTAGCCTAGATGTGGTAGCCCTTGATATTAAAAAGAAGCAAGCTATGTCAGCCCTTTGAGGCAGGCCAGATCAGGACACAGACCTCACCAGAAATACTAGGGCGCTATGGATATAGGCTAAAATAACAACATCCTGAAAGCCTGACAGGGCTGTGCTTACACCAAAGAGAGTCAAGGCGAGGCACTCTTGAGTTTCTTCCTCACCCTCCTGTTTTCCCAGGCCAAGTTCATGTTTTCCTAACCCTGCCCTGTACCTGCTTCAAGGCCACCTCCATACTCCTCTACAGCAAATGAGCTCCAAGATGTTAAAATCCCAACCAATCAAGCGAAGCAACTCACCTGGCTAGAGGCTCTGGCTCATCGTTGTAGATAGTGATTCTGCCCACAAACCTGTTGGGAGAGACGTACCAAAGGATGTTGATGTTCTGTAAGTGGCTCATGGTCATACGGGAGTTGCAGCAATTTAAAGGAAGGAGGTGGGGTGGTGGGAATCAGGCATGCTAAAGAAAGGGACTGTCAAGCTGTTGTGTTCTCAGAGAGAAGGGGTCTAAAAAGGCCGATGGGGGTGATCCTAGAGCAGTGATGGCGAACCTATGACATGCGTGTCAAAGGTGACGCGCCACAATGTTTTGGGTGACGTGCCAGAGTTCACCAACAACTATTCTCCCTGTTTTAAGTTACCGAAGAAACTGAGTTTTACTCGTATTTCATTTTTGTAATTATTTGATTTTTTTATATATATAATACATAGCACTGCACATAACTGGACTGTATTTTTTTTTTAAATAAAGGCATATGTAAAGAATTGTTTCTCTTTTGTTGAGGGGGGTGACATGCCAGCAGAGTCAAGTTAGGCATTTTCTGAATTTTTGACACGCCAAGCCCAAAAGGTTCACCATCGCTGGCCTAGAGGTTATTTACCAATCAATAATTTTTAATTTAAAAATAGTTATCATCCCAGGAAAGCAACAGGGGAAGAGAAGTGCCTAAGGCGGAATCTGTGGCAACTGTATTCAATGACAGCATTTATTTCACACTTGTTGGCCAACTTCCAGGCCTTTGCCCTTTCCTGGGCTTATGAGATACACACATCTGCGAAGTGATGACAGCTGTTGGGCAACAGAGAGTAAACAGGGAAGGAAGAATGAATGGCAGGCCTGGAGGAAGGAAAGGGCTGAGCTGGGACCAGCATGCAACAGAGGCCATTAGAATACAGTGACAACACTTGTGTAATGATGTCACTGTGCGTATGAGACATTGCTTGCTCCAACCCAGTGTTTCTCAATCTTGGCCACTTGAAGATGGGTGGACTTCAACTCCCAGAATTCCCCAGCCAGCCTCAATCTTGGCTGCTCGAAGATGGGTGGACTTCAACTCCCAGAATTCCGAGCCAGCCTCAATCTTGGCCGCCTGAAGATGGGTGGACTTCAACTCCCAGAATTCCCCAGCCAGCCTCAATCTTGGCTGCTCGAAGATGGGTGGACTTCAACTCCCAGAATTCCGAGCCAGCCTCAATCTTGGCCGCCTGAAGATGGGTGGACTTCAACTCCCAGAATTCCCCAGCCAGCCTCAATCTTGGCCGCTTGAAGATGGGTGGACTTCAACTCCCAGAATTCCGAGCCAGCCTCA